TGTGAAATTGTGGCTTGGGCCGGCCGAGCCTGCGGGCTGCCCGGCGGTGCATTCCGGCCACGCATGTGCAGCCAACACTCCTGATGAAACGTGAAAGTGCAGTGAGGAGTGAATACTTTGACAATGGCAATGCACATTTTGCATTTGTCCACCCCTTTATCTCACTGTTGGCCTTCCCTCAGGTCATTCATGTGAGGACAGGAGTTAGGGTTCAGCTCCACTACTGACCCGGGGTCAGGTTCACTGTGCAGATAAACAGTCCATTCCCATCTCCCACTCTGTGGACTGTCTGAAGTTAGAGTCATGGAGAATGGTGATGTGAATATGATGAGCAGTCAAAATTCTTCCATCGCTGGAACATGAACAGAGACCATTCATACCACCTTCATATCACATTAACCATCTCTGAAAGGTGCTATTCGTGGTGTTACATGTTTACTCAGGTAATATACCGTATATTAACATATTGACATATTGCCAATTATTAACTGCTCATGGCTGCGGGCAGGAAATAAGCTTTGATGCTGCACCATAAACTCTGGAATCAAAATGAACTTGCTCGTATTCTTATCAGTATTTAAATATTTAATCATTATTGACATTATCTGGGACAAGGAATCATCGTCTCATATTGGAGTAAAGCGGTGATGTCATTTTTTTTTTTTGCTGACAATCATACTGTTTGGCAGATGATTTTCGATGTCAGGACATGGGTTTGTTATTGGCAGAGCAGTAGAAGTGAAGCTGAAGAATGGCCCAGGTCAGCCTGCAGGCAGCTGCACCATAGAGTGGACTCATCATGACCTTAGCTAACCTTAAAAAACTTTTTTTTTTTTAAAACCCAAGTAATTTCCAGAGAAACCCCAAAATGCTGACCCCAGAGGAATATAAACATTTCTCAAAGTCTTAAAAGCCCATTGCCTCTGGACCATGAATGTGGTACATTAATAATCAACAGCTGTTGTGTATGTAATTATCAGTTTGGGCTAAACACTGCACATGATCACAGAAACTCCAGTTCTGAAGAAGCCAGAAATGAAATGACCCCAAATGGGGTTCACTAACTAATGCTGCTTTGGTACAAAATAGGCATGTGGGCAGACCGCATATGGCTCCCAATTACCCTTTACTGACATATGGGCAATTTGCTGCCCACATGGAACCTGGTGACAAACCCATATGAGTCCTAACTTTCAGCCCACTTTGCATCCACATGCCCCTCATACAGATGCTGGCTGTGTGTGCCAAGCAGCGAGCAATTACATTTGGGCCTGTTTAATGTGTTTTTCTATCGCAGGCACTGAGAGATACTTAAAATACACATTCCTGCCTCGCTTTCAGCATCAGACTTGGAGCAGTTTGCAGATCTGAACATGTTGGGCTTCTCTCTGTAAATGGTCCTTAGTGATTTCAATGAAACCTGTATGAAATCAACAGAGTAAGTAAACAACGTAAGCGACTAACACCTCGGATGGCAGACTTTTTTTTCTATGATGGCACTATAACTGTAGTAACTGACCACACGTTAAAGCCTGTTTTTTTTTTTACAGTATCAAAATGTATGAACATTCTGGTAAGAATGCAGAGTTAGAACAGCATGTTTCAAAGGAGCCTGTTTTGGCCACGGGCCTGGGATCAGGCTGGTGGCTCTTTCATCTCTCCGAC